TATATATATATATCGGCATTTTGAACCTGACAAAAATGGAAAAAATACCTTGATTTTGAGTCTAACCCAGGTGTCATGAAAAATTTCCAGCACTGAAAAGTCACTATATGTACATAAAAAAGTCCTTTCTAATCTTCATTTGAAATAAGTTAGAGAAATGAATTGAATATTACATTTAGCCATTTTAATTGGGCGAATAGAGAACGTACCCGTAAATTTGTATGTGCATTTAGTGACTCTTTGTAGGCCATGCACATTTAGCGTATTTACTCGTGTATAGTTATCTCGAAACGCAGAGTCAGTACCGCAAGGACATTTGCCGAGCTTGCAATTGACTGCGGCGAATCGGAAATAGTGGTGCTTTGTCGGAATAGTGATACGTTACCTGATACGAGAAAGATTATAGGCAGCATTTGACAAACAAATAGATTGTGTGTGGCGCGACTACGAAAGCGATTGTGGATGGTACAGTGTGAGCGACTATGGAGTGGCACAAATTGGGCTGTGGACAGTGACGAGATGGCAATTGCGTGTGGCACGGGCGCGGCGTTCCAGGGCATTGCGGCTCTTGCACTCGGCAAAGATGCGGGTAAAAGAGGGCGAGGGGCGAATTCCGTGGCTATTGATAAGCTGGCGGGTGAAACGAACCAATTTACAGGCAGTATAATTTGTGTGTTTTGCAGCTAAAGCATACGGAGCAAGTTTATGTACAGATGAATGAAAACAATGTAAGCCTCATCAAACAACAATTTAAAAAGCCATCTAATGGATTTCAGGCGAAATAGATAAATAAACCGAATGTTTCATCAGAAACATATTGTCGATCACTAGTATTTCTTACTTCAGTGAACCACATGTTCTTTGTCACATTTTTGGCGAATGGCAGATGTGACGGCGGCTTTGAACGGGTCCAAAACCCTTGTTACGGAAAAGACTACTAGTTAAATACAACACCTCGCCTAGAGTATATGCAGACACGAATGGAGCTGGACGTACCACTCAGAAAGCATGTAATTACCAATTTAATTATTCCTAAAACAACAGGTACAAAACACGTTCCCGTTGACATACGTAGCGCATGACAACACAAAGCTCTTAGCAATTTGCAACATGGCTCATACACTTAAGCGTGTATGCAAGACTGTTACACTTTGATATGTCGACTATTGTTATCTGCTCACTCAGTGTGCATCAAATTTATGTACACAAATCATCTAAAGGGAAATGTTTACAAAAGGGGGCGTATATATCAGCAAACCCACTACATGCGTCGACAATGTTTGCAAACCAGGCGTATCGCACTCGGATGCACTAATCGAAATCTCGATTATAACGATGGTTCCGCTAATCTCCGTTGTCTACAACCACATACGTCACCAACAGCCGTCCAAGAACTTTACGGTAAAGCTTTATCTTGTGATGGTCTCCATATGGCAGACCGAATGTAGCAGCACAAGCAATTGATGTAGATACTCAAATAGTGAAAACACCATATACGAACATATCACTAGGTTCGTATATAGTTTCAAATATACTGTATCAATGGTTTACCGACTGGACTGGTCAGAAGTTCGACAACAGAGTTGGGTATCGGAAGTACACAACAGCAGAAGTGAATAAGTAAAAATTTCATTCTTTCATCAAAATGATTTTTAACTACAATGTCTAATGTGTATAGCGCAGCAACAATCCCTAGCGCGTAGCTGATGTTCATTTTCATCCCACATGCGATGATAACCGTCAATCAAAGAGAGGCTATATATGATCGATGATATTATCGTTCAGGTCGATAGATGAATACTCCTAACCATAATCTATACGATATCCCAAGACTTGAAGAAGCCCATTCGCAAGTAGTCGTAGTTGGCCTTGGGTCCATACATTCCATAGGCCAAAGGCGAGAAGAAGATGAAGGAGGTCAGCAGAGTCAAGACAATTCCAAAGAACATAGCATGGATAATGCGTCGGGTGAAGCCTCGCTTGTGCAAGAAGAACCTGTAGTGCCAAGGCAGAAAAAAAAAAGAAAGAAAAAAAGAGAAAAAAAATGAGTTAGTTCGAGGTATATATGAGCGGGCACTCTCAGTCCAAACTCAGATGGTCCAATTGCCCAGCACACCAGTTAGACAAAAACTCTAAACCTTCAGACACAATATACTCTAAAACACCAATTCACAGCACACCAGGCCAAGAAGAAAGCTTATCAATGACACGAGCGAAGAGCATGCCTTCGAACATGTGCGAAAGAAAGCAGTGTTAGAAGAAAAGCACACGCCTCATCAGGTAGAACACGATGCATCGCAGCACGGAGGCAAGTGCCATCATAACGACACACAGAAACACATTAGGACAAAGAAAACAAACTTAAACACCAATAGTCGAAACATTATACCCTAGGACGAATCAATGGCAATAGCGGAAAACACACACAGAGACATGTGCGATGGGAAGAGGTGGTGGAGGTAAAGCACGTCTCACGTCAGGACGAACGGGACATCGTGCAGCAAGAAGGCAAGCGTCATCCGAACCACATACAGAAACATATTAAGACACAGAAAATATACTTATACACCAATAAGCAATACACTATACACCACTCAACGACATACCAGGTCCAGAAGAAGAGCTCGTCAATGACTATAGCGGAAAGCATACACGCAAACATGTGCGATGGGAAATAGTGGTGAAAGTACAGCACACGCCCCATGAGGAAGAACGGGATGTAATGCAGCACAAAGGCAAGCGCCATCCATCCCCCAAGACCAGTCAGTTTTTTCTTTTGTGCTGTATGATAGGGTGCCGTTTGAAGTGAGACAGTGAGATGAATAAAATCACTTACG